GGGGGGGATTGTGGGGGAGGAGGGGTGTGGGGGGGTTTCGGGTGGGGGGGATGGTGAGGAAGAAGAGGGGTGGAGGGGGTTCAGGCCGGGGGGGTGGTGAGGAAGAAGAGGGGTGCAGGGGGTTCAGGCTGGGGGGGATGGTGAGGAAGAAGAGGGGTGCAGGGGGTTCAGGTCGGGGGGGTGGTGAGGAAGAAGAGGGGTGCAGGGGGTTTTGGATTCTGCTCAGGGGAAGCTGTGGCTCTGGGGAACCCAGACCAGGGGGGACTGGCAGGGCCGGTGTACCCCAGTGGTCTTCAAGACCCCAGGCTTCTTTTCGCAAGGCTGTGCTTCAGAGACGAGGATCAAGTATTCATTCCCGAGTCTGTTTTTCTCAAGTCACACGTTTTTAAACTACTGCTTTCAGCAGAAGAGGGAAAACAAAGCTGCACACTTTACAGGGAGCTGTGTTCCACAGCCAGCCTGCTCCGGAGGAGCCAGCCACGGGGGGGTTTGTTTGGAGGTCACGCTCTCGGCAGCTCTCCTGGATCGGGGAGATGCTGCGCCTCCCAGCAAGAATCATTGCAGTTTTCCCAGCCGCTCGGCGGATTCTTCAGAGCCGTGATTGTTTCTCTCCGTGCCAGCGACGAGCTGGGGGGGCGCCCTGGCCTCTCGCTGAACACGGAGCAAATTGGCATGTTGCTGCTGTCCTGTCCTGGTGCTCTGTCCTCTCTCTCCTCTCCTGGGTATCCTGTTGGGTTGGATTGTCCACTTTCCCAGAACTGGGACTCCCGGGAGATCGGGTGTCTGCAGCTGCCTCGAGGCCCCCCGACAAAGATGCCCACGCCTGCCTCAGCTCCCAGACGGGCCAACATGCCGCCTGGGAGCCAGCTGTTATCATGCCCTTCAAGATCTCTTCCAGCACACAAATGAGCAGGAAACCTTGCCTGCAGGTGGTACTGGGCTTGCGCAGGGCAAGGTCATAAAGCCAAAACACATACTTTGAAAGCTCATCTCTGCAGCAAACTCCATTCTGATTATTGTAAATTCAGATGGCGCCAGATGCCCGGCAACATGGAGAAGAATGTTCCCTTGTCGGCGACTGGAAAGACCAGTATGCTGATTGCTCGGGGGTGGTTTGTGCTTTGTAATGCAAAGTAGTCCGAGCTCAGCTGCACAGGAAACCCCGATGAGCCACTCATGGGGAAAGTGAGGCAAGCGGAGCAGAGATACCTTATACCCTCTATAAACATGTGGTATTCGACAGCTCAAGCTGTACATGTTCTTTTCCATAAACAGTACAGCACAGCAAAACATTTACATATGTCAACAGTAATGAGCAGGAGCTGTAGAATCATTGGAAATCCCCTCGTTCCAGGTCTAGTGTCACAGCACCGTGCTGCGCTCTGGCGCACGGCTCTCGCACGCTGCACTGCTGCCTCCTCTCCCGGTGCTCGCCTGCAGTGCTGGGGCAACGGGCTCGACCCTACCGACTTCCTCTTCCTCCCCTCCAGAGCTCGTGAGAGGAAGAGCTTCTGAGGTGCTCTGCAGCAGTCTGTACTTTGGGGGTGACTGCTGCCGTGACTGTGGGGGGGGCGTAACCGTGGGTCATATTTTGAAGATGTTCCTGGCTGGAGTGAAAGCACATCTGGAAATATTCTGGGAATAAAGGAGTGATCAGTCTCCATGACAGAGCTGGCACACACGTAATGGGCTCTGCTCACGCTGAACCTCTTCATTCGCATCCCGGTTCAAAGGTCACGCATCGGGCCAGACTTGGGCAGTCAGGACAGGGGGCGCTGGGGGGAGGCAGTCCTGTTCATCTCCCATCATGCAGCTGCCGCAGAGAGCCGGTGTCGGTCAGGGTTCTCCAGGGTAGAGCAGGCAGGAAGGCGTGGGGCTGCGATCGGCACTTCAGCTCTTTCCCACTGGGCTATTGGGAGTGCGCAGGCGCTGCCTGCTCCTGCAGAGAGGGCGACAGAGGGCACCTTCAGGCCCCCGTGTTCCGATCGCCTCAGTAAGGCTTCATGAGTAACGACTTGGCCTTTTCTTTTAAAGTTTGATGGAAGCTTAGGTGAGCACGGGTCTTCAGCTGTGAAGTTTGCAGGGTGTTTGCTTTTTCAATACTCAACCTGCAGCTTCACTTATGCCCTTCAGTGAATCTTGGAGTTAAAGTGTGCGTTCACATTCCTCTCTCCCCTGTGCGCCCGGGCTTGGAGGAGGAAGAGGGGGCTGGTGGGCGGAGGTAGTGGGGGGGGGGTATTTGCTGACCCCCAGTGCCCAGCGCAGCGCACACAGGGATCAAGTTGCACCCTCCTAGGCTATGGGACAGGAGGAGCCTCCTCAGCCCAGCCCACAGCCATGGGCTCTGAACTGTCAGGGAGATTTAGTGCCATTCCAGTCCCAGGGTCTCTCGGCTCGCCTCCTGCACAAACTGCACTGTAGCGGCTCAGAGCCTGTGGCCATTTCCTCAGGCTGCTCTCTGCAAACACACAGGGTCAGGACACGTTGCCCACAAGGCTTGCTCTTGGCTCTGACAGGGTGCTTTTGTCTTGCAGGTTCTTCTGAGGGGCTGGACGCTGACACCTGGAGGCTGCGATGGCCATGCAAGGTGAGGCCGTGACCACGATTGGTTCAAGTTTGGAGACAAGTGCTTTAAGCCCTCTGCCCTGCTGGGAGCAGGAGAGCCTATATAAGCTTTGTTATAAATTAGAGAGTTAAGCCTTTGATCTGTGTCTTGTCTGTCAGTAAGCTTTTCATCCTGAAATCCAGAAAATGAGCTTGTTCTCCTCCTCTCCTCTCCTGCACTCCGTGCGCAGTGACCGAGTCGACGGAGAAGGTGCACCAGTGGCAGATTGACTCTGGGATCCACAGTGGCACCTCCACCACGGCCCACTCCATGCGCGGATTCCCAGAGGAAGACGCGTTCGAGACGAAGGGCTACACCATCACCACGACCACCTACACCACAGAGAGCCCTGCAGGTACAGCGCAGGACCCCACCACGCTCTGCGTCACCTCAAGATCCCACAGTGCTCTTGTATTTGGTGTCACCCCAAGGTCACATAAAGTGCTTATCCTCAGTGTCACCCCAAGATCTCATAGTGCTCTTACACTTAATGTCACCCCAAGATCTTACTGCACTCTTACGCTCCGTCACCCCAAAATCTTGCAGCACTCTTGTGTTTGGTGTCATCCCAGGATCCCCCAGTGCTCTTATGCTCAGTATCACCCCAAAAACCCAAAAGCGCTCTTTTGCCTGATGTCTCCCCCACTCTGTACGTCTCGGTGGTGCACCGTTCATCTTTTAGCTAAGATGCCTGCTTCTGGGCGGAGGGCTGTGGTTCACTGGGAGTCTAGTCCACCCCTGAGGTGGCAGGAATGCATAATCATGTGTTAGTGTGTGCTCACACCCGCCATCGCCCACACAGATGTGGAGTCCCAGCTCGCCCTGACGCGGGCGCAGCGGGTGCGAGCGGCCATGTACCCGGAGACCGTGATGGGGGAGACCATCCTGTCCACGCAGATCGACTCCAGCCAGCAGACCAACGTGCAGAAGCTGGCCGAGCCCTCGCAGCTGCTGAAGACGGCCATCATCCACCTCATCAACTACCAGGATGACGCCGAGCTGGCCACCCGCGCCGTGCCGGAGCTCACCAAGCTGCTGAACGACGACGACCAGGTGCCACACGTGCTCCTGCGCTCGCGCACATGCTCCTCACGCGCGCACGGGTGTGCTCGTGCGCTCGCCTGTACCCACATGTGCACACATTCCCATGCTCACACGCCTGCAGTCATGTGCACGTGCACGTGTCCAGTAGGGTAGGTTGAGAGTTTCCAAAAACCAGTTTATGCACCAGCGGCGGTGCCAGTCCACGAACCAGAACCGTGGCTCCCCTTGCTTTTTGTTTGTGCTCATCAGTCAGTTACTTGTATTAAAACATAACAAAAACCTTTCTTCATACTTTGGCTATTAAGTTAATTTGATACAGTTTTGCCTCTTAGTAGCCGCGTGTGTTCAGACCTCAGAAAGTACCAGCCAGGAAAGCTGAGGTCCTGACTGCTCCCTGGTTGAAGAGCTCCTCGCACTGTTAGCAAGGAAAGGGACAGTCGGTTCCCGGCTGGTCCAGTCTGGCCCCCCAGAGGATCCCCTGTAATTCAGCTGGTACCGCAGTTCTCCACTGCATCTGGTTGGCTGGACAGTGGGGGTGCCAGCAAGGGGACTGAGTGTGACCCCGCTGTGCACCCCAGGTGGTGGTGAACAAGGCGGCGATGATCGTGAACCAGCTGACGCGGAAGGACGCGTCGCGCCGCGTGCTGATGCAGTCCCCGCAGATGGTGGCGGCGGTGGTGCGGACCATGCAGAACACCAGCGACATGGAGACGGCGCGCTGCACCGCCAGCATCCTGCACAACCTGTCGCACCAGCGCGAGGGGCTGCTGGCCATCTTCAAGTCCGGGGGCATCCCTGCCCTGGTGCGCATGCTCAGGTACGCCAGCCGCCGGCCAGCAGGGGGCGCTGCAGCCCTGCATACAGGCATGCAGCAGGGAGGCCAAGACACCTTCGCACAGGTCTCCTGCAGGACAACACTGACCCATCGGGCAGCGGAGAGGTTTCCAGGCATGAATAACAGATAACTGAGACTCCCGAGTTGTTAAAAATAATAATTCCTTTCACTTATATAGCTCTTCTCTGGACACTCCACTCAAAGCGCTTTACAGGTAACCAGCAGCCATGCAGCTCCGTCACTCTGCAGCTCATAGCTGGCAGCCCACTGGAGCTCAGCAGGTGTGAGACTGGTCAGTACCTGGAGGGGAGACTCCTGGGAAAGCTGAGGCTGCTGATGGAAGAGGTGTGAGGGGCCAGTAGAGGGTGCTCACACTGTGGTCTCTGTGGGTCCTAATTTCCCAGTATAGTGATGGGGACACTGGACTGTAAAAAGGTGCTGTCCTATGGATGAGTCTTAAAACCAAGTTCCTGACTCTCTGTGGTCATTAAAAATCCCAGGGCGTTTTTCACAAAGAGTAGGGGTGTTACCCTGGTGTCCTGGCCAAATTGCCCCCTGGTCTTTACCATTCATGACCTCCTAATGATCCTTTTCTCTGAACCGGCTTCATCACTCTGTTCTCCTCACTGAGAGCTGGTGTGTGGGGAGCAGACTGGAACATCATCCAGGTGGGGTTTCACACGGTGTGGTGGGCAAAAAAGTGCTTTGAGTGGAGTGTCCAGAAAAGTGCTATACAAGTGTGAGGAATTATTATTATTATTGTGATTATTATGATGATTGATTGATAATTAATGGGGACTCTCCTCCATGTCCACCAATGTGTAGCCCCACCTGGATGATGTGTGCGCCAGTCCACTGCATCCTTTCTCCACTAAACAGATGTGAAGTAAGAAGGGTCTCCAGGCTGGGCACTACTGTATGAAATCACGTGAGCCAGCTGGCTGTTTCATACTTGTTGCGGACATGCGTAAATTAATGCACATATGAGGGAATACACAAGCTGAGGGGCCCGTAATCTCAGGGTACTGGGTTCATGTGCCATGTCGGGTGCAAGGTTCTCTAATAACCCATACTGGGCAGCAGCAGTATTGGCGGTATCTGCGCGGAAGAAAGGCCTGGCAATCTTCCTCCGTATCCTGCCATGAGAACTCTACGGATAGTGGCGGTGGAGCCGACTATCCGACTCAGCAGCACTCCACCACCACAAGAGCACTCGGTGCCAGGCGTCTCCCCTGCGGTCCCCCTGACGGTCTCTCTCCCCCCCAGCTCCCCCATGGAGTCGGTGCTCTTCTACGCCATCACCACTCTGCACAACCTGCTGCTGCACCAGGAGGGCGCCAAGATGGCCGTGCGGCTGGCGGACGGCCTGCAGCGCATGGTCCCCCTGCTGAAGAAGAGCAACCCCAAGTTCCTGGCCATCACCACCGACTGCCTGCAGCTGCTGTCCTACGGCAACCAGGAGAGCAAGGTGTGTGAGCCAGAGATCAGAGAGGCGCGAGCTTCTGTGGTCCAGCTTCCTGTGGGATGGGATTCCCAGACCAACGCACTCGATCTGCTCACATACCGTCTTTGTGTTGCTACTCTTCTAGCTCTGTGGGGTGCACACAGTGTTGTGCTAGTCAGTGTGCCTTTGTACGTGTCCCCCAGGTTGTGCCCATGTGTGCGTGCCGGCCTGTGCCCATGAGCTGACGGCAGTGCTGTCTCTCTGTTCTCCCCAGTTGATCATCCTGGCCAACGGTGGCCCTGAAGGGCTGGTGCAAATCATGCGCAACTACAACTACGAGAAGCTGCTGTGGACAACCAGCCGTGTGCTGAAGGTGCTGTCTGTGTGTCCCAGCAACAAGCCGGCCATCGTGGAGGCAGGTGAGTCACACACGCCTGTCGCACGGCTCTGTCCTCCCGCAGGCGGCCGTCCACACGCCTGTCACACGCCTGTCGCACAGCTCTGTCCTCCCGCAGGCGGCCGTCCGCACGACTGGCGCACGCCTGGCACACGCCTGTCGCACGGCTCTGTCCTCCCTGCCTAATGTTGCGCCCTTGTCCCTCAGGTGGGATGCAGGCCCTGGGGAAGCACCTGACCGGCTCCAGCCAGCGGCTCATGCAGAACTGCCTGTGGACTCTGAGGAACCTGTCCGACGCCGCCACCAAGCAGGTGAGCAGGAGAGGAACCGGGCCAGAACCCAGCCCGGCCCAGGCCCACGTGCTTCTCTGGTAACATGTTGCTCACTTTTCCATGTCCTCTCATCTGCAGGACGGGCTGGATGGGCTCCTGCAGGTCCTGGTGTCCCAGCTGGGCTCGGACGACGTCAACGTCCTGACCTGCGCCACGGGCATCCTGTCCAACCTCACCTGCAACAACAGCCGCAACAAGACGCTGGTGACGCAGAGCAACGGGGTGGAGTCGCTGATCCATGCCATCCTGCGCGCCGGCGAGAAGGAGGACATCACCGAGCCTGCCGTCTGCGCCCTGCGCCACCTGACCAGCCGCCACTCCGACGCCGAGGTGGCGCAGAACGCCGTGCGCATGCACTACGGCATCCCTGCCATCGTCAAGCTGCTCAACCAGCCATACTACTGGCCCGTCATCAAGGTGAGAGGGAAACACCGCGATCCAGGCTCTTCATCCGCTGCCAGGGCCTCTCCGGCCGGCACAGGCCGCAGGGTGTGTGTGTGGCAGGGAAGCAGAAGGACAAAGGTCATGGATGAGGATGCGCACTGCAGTGGGATAGAAGCTGTTCTTGAGTCTGGTGGTCCTTGCTTTAACAGTGTGGTACCGCTGGCCAGAGCGCAGGGGGGTGAACAGTCTGTGGCCGGGATGGCTGGCATGATGCCCAGAGAGTGGTGGTGGCTGGAGGGGTGTGTGTGGTGTTGCCCCAGCTGAAGAGACAGGTCTCCACCATCTCACTGACGTTGCCTTCAAGAACGTCTCTCGATAAAAAATCAGAGCAGGGAACCTCTGTCAGGGGCACGTACCACGAAAGCAGAACCCACTGAGGAATTTGTAAAGCAAAAGTAATTTAATGATCAAGGATTGTTAATTAATCACATTGACTTCAAAGAAGAAGTAATTAGAGAGGCCTGAGCCGGTGGGAATCTGTTGAGTGAGTGAGAGGACTTGCTGAGCTCATACACACACACATGCCCACACACACTGACAGCCCAGTTCGGAAGAACAGTGACACACTGATTTGGACAGAAAGTCACCCAGTTAGTTTAGTTAATTCCCTTCCCAGGCTCCGTGGCCTGGAAGCACAAGACTCCACCTAGTTCACTGCATGGCCACCCCCGGCTCTGCTTAAGCCTACCCCCCAGGTCTAGTTCGGGGCCTCTGAAGACTCCTGCTCATGTCGCAGCCTTGTCTGTCTGCGCACGCAAGCTGGCGTGACGCTGCTTCCCAGAATTCCCTGTGCATGAACAGGGGCTGTACTGGCCAGCTTCAGGGTCAACACACACAGTTTTGACCCAGGACAGTAGGCCAGACAGAACGGAATCCATGATCCCAAAATTGATCCCAATCAGGGGTCCTCAGTCCTGTGCCCCTGGAATTGCTCATGCTTTAGAACGAGATTTAAACAATAAAAATATCTGCTGGACTGAGTAGATTTGAACAACAGTCACGAGAGAAAAGCTGAGATTTATTTTCAGGTGTCAAGATGTTTAAAAGCTGCTTTCTGTGGCACCTCAGAGACCTCCTTTAGCACATCTTGAACATGCCAGATCGTTTTGTTTTTTGAATGAATTTATTCACTGGTCCTCGTCTCTCCCAGGCTGCTGTGGGTCTAATCCGGAACCTGGCGCTGTGCCCGGCCAACCAGGCCCCCTTGCGTGATGCGGGCACCATCCCGCGGCTGGTGAACCTGCTGGTGAAGGCACACCAGGACGCCCAGCGCCAGACCACCTCCAGCGCCCAGCAGACATACCAGGTGAGAGGTGGCGAGATATAAAAAATGTCCTTCCTCCACAAGAGGAAGGAAAGAGCGAGACCTTTTAAAATTGGAGTCAAACTCCCATTGCACAGCAGGTTTTGCCAGCTTCAATGATTGCAAAAGCACAAACAGGCACTTGAGGCTCAAGTCTGGATTCTGCCCCATCTCTGTAGAGTCGAACAGATGGCAAGGACACATGTCCCTCTTGGACGGGTCACGCGCAGCAAAGCTGGTACCCGGTCGTGCAGCAAGGCTACAGAGCAGTGTGTGTGCAGTTAGGAGTCCAGAGCCCTAGGTGCTCCTCTCTGCCGCTCCCTGGTTGGGACTGGCCTTGAGCTGTGTGTGGTCAGGGGCTGACCTGCGCCTGCTCTCCCGGTCTTTGTCAGGACGGCGTGAGGATGGAGGAGATCGTGGAGGGCTCCACTGGCGCTCTGCACATCCTGGCCCGTGACCCCATCAACAGGAGCGAGATCGCCAGCCTGCACACCATCCCTCTCTTCGTGCAGGTGAGAGACCGCCAGACGGCGCCTGCGTGGGGTGGGGGGTCCCCAGATCCACCTGCTTGATCATACACCCGGAAACAAATCCCCGTCGACAGTGAGCTTGCGGAGGCGACATGCATGCGATGGGTTTTAGCGGTGAAAGATGCTTGCGGGCTTCTTGAGCCCGATCCCGAGTTCTGCTGACTGTCCCGGAGCTGGGTGTCGGTGTCGCGCTCGGCGGTCAGCGTTCCCCGTTCCTCCTAAGCGACTCTCTGGTCTCTGCCCCCTCAGCTCCTCTACTCGCCCATCGAGAACGTGAAGCGCGTGGCGGCTGGCGTGCTGTGTGAGCTGGCGCTGGACAAGCAGTCGTCCGAGGAGATCGACGCAGAGGGCGCCTCCGCCCCGCTGATGGAACTGCTGCACTCCAACAACGAGGGCATCGGTGAGGGGCGGGGCAGGGGGAGGGCCTGATGTTGATGGCAGAGACGTTGGGGAAGGGTGAAGGGTGGGGACATTGGTGGGTGGGGCAGCAGGGTGAGGGGGGGGAGGTGGGTGGGAGGGGCAGGGAGGTGGGTGGGCGGGGCAGGGGGAGGAGGAGGGAGGTTGATGGGCAAGGGAGGGGTAGGGCGGTTGATGTGTGGGGCAGGTGGAGGGTGGTTGATGGGTGGGGCAGGGGGATGGGCAGGGAGGTTGATGGTTGGTGGGCGGGGCAGGGGGGGTGAGGAGGGAGGTTGATGGGCGGGGCAGGGGGAGGGGGAGAGAGGTGGGACAAAGTTTGGAGAAGAGGCAGACAAGTGGGAAGAGAAAAGAAGACGACGAGAGGAGAGCTGAGGCAGTGGTGTTGCCAGCCATACAGTATATAGTCCATACAAGCCAGGTCTATATGTGAGAGAGATGGTTTGATGTTGATGGAGAAGCTGCCTCCAGCCCAGGAGCGTCGGTCTCTGCCACTGAACTCAGATCCCCTCTTTTCCCAAAAGCCACCTATGCCGCGGCCGTGCTCTTCCGCATCTCCGAGGACAAGAACTCCGACTACCGGAAGCGTGTTTCCGTGGAGCTGACCCACTCTCTGTTCAAGCACGACCCCGCCTCCTGGGAGATGGTGAGAGACCGGAATATTCTGTCACTGAGGCGCTTGTCCTGTTAGACACTTCTAAAGGTGTTTCTTATTGGATTTGAGAGCGGGAAGATATTTAGGAGAATCCCAAGGCATTGATCCTGCTGAATCCCATCCACAGGGCTGGCTAGCCTTTCCCCTTTTTAATGCTTAATCATGTTGTCTTCTTTCAGGCCCACAATGCTGTGCAGATGGAACCTGTCTATCCTGGCGACGGTAAGTTTTTCCCCATTTCCCCTCTCTGAGCTGGTGGGCCCATGTTTCTCAAGGGAGTAAAAGGAAAGCTGGGCCGACACAGTACCGTTCCTCATGAGGGAGGGAGCAGGCTCAGTCGTGCCGGGGAGCCCAGGGCCTCTCAGCACCTCGACGGGCCATTCCTGTGGTCTTTGGTTCTCCGAGTCAGATTCATTCAAAAGGTCCGAAAACTCAGAACATCGGCGCTGAAGTGATTGCTTTTGTGAGCCCACGGCAGATCGATTTTAAATGAGCCTCAGCACAGGGAGGTTAGGGATCGAGATTCCGGTTTCTGAAGTTACCGCAGTCCAGACCCCACTGGAAGACACATGCTGCAAAGCTCTGGGCCCCGAGGAGCCCAAACCTGGCAGGTTCTCACAGTCGTCTTTCATTAATATTAAGATTTAGGTCTGAGGGGGTTTTAAGTGGTACCTCTGACTCCAGGGCCAGGTCAGGTTGACTGATCCTCCCTCTGTCCCCTGCAGAGCCTGACGCCGGCTTCAACGCCTACGGGTACCAGGTGGAGGGCATGGGCATGGGCATGGACCACGTGGTCCTGGAGGGAGACATGGGAATGCACATGCCGGACGATGAGTTCCTGCACGACGGCTACGACAGCATGAACAGGCAGGGGTACTCCGAGCAATACTAGCCCAGCTGCAGGTAGGAACCATCTCTTTCCCCTCGGCCCTTTACTTTCACGTCAGCCCGTTGAGGACGGCTGGCAGGATGTTTGTTCCACACCCCTACGACCCTTTGTGTAGGGGAGCGCCTCCTGTCTTCTGTCCACAATGTGTAACAGCTGAGTTTCAACTTGTCCAACGGTTGTGTTTCACCATTAGTCAAGTGGTGGTCATGTCCTCAATTTCAAGATTTTAAATACTTTTAAATAGTCTCCTTAAAGACTAAAATTGTTTTTTCTTTTTTAATTTTAACCTTGTTAATTGTGGGATTTTAGCTAGTTTTCTCTAAGCACAAGTGTATTTTACACTCCTGTATATGAGGAATGTATCAGCCCAGGGGGGAGCCAGAACATTCCGGAAAAGCCTCACGGGCGCCGGGGACACGGCAGGGATGAAGGATCAGGCCCTGAGTGTGTGACATCACCGCTCAGACCGGGGGCTCCTATTGGTCCTGCCCAGTGAACACTCCCCTTTAGGAGACTGGTGACATGCTATTGGCTGCCGGGGTGACCCTTTTGTCCAATCAGGGCCTGTGTTTTCTTTCTGCAGGTCGAAGGTGAGGGTGCAGGGCTGACGCCGGGGAGATGGGCGACAGGCGGCGGTGAGGCGCAGGGCGGGTGACCTGACAAGCCCCGCTTCCACGTCGGAAAGGGGGTGGGGGGTGGGGGGGGCTGCAGGAATCGGGGTTTACTTCAAACACTTCTGTTCCTCATTTTTCAAGCCATTTTATTATATTCCAAAAGAAGCTTTAACCTTTTTTTAGTTATTTGTTGAAATACCTTTGTACTGTTTTTATTTTCTGTTTGTCTGGAACCGAGGGCGGCTGGCTGAAACATGTCAGACCCTGTACGTGGAAAGAGGAGCAAAAAGTTTTTGTTTTGCTAAAAACGACAAATCCAGCCTTTGATTTATGTTTTAACTTAGCTGTATTTAACACCTGATGTGTGTTTTTTTTTTTACTAAACCTGAGAACACAAGCTTGTAAATGGCTACTCGTCCAGTCTGTAAGCGAATTAACACTCTGGCTTCGCCGTGCTCGTCCCGCACGCGGTCCGGTCCTGGACGGGCACATGCCCAGGACGGGACGTGCGTCTGAAAGCGAAGCTGTGAAGGTGGACAGTGGACTGGGCTCGGCTGGTCTCCCCGTCTTCCACAGGCAGGGAAACGCCTTCACAGCTGAAACTGTCCTCATTACTGCTGATTTGTAAGGAACCTCTGGTGATTTTAGGGGTGGAAATGTGTTTTTTGGGGGAGGAAGGGGGGGTGTTATGCCAAAGAGATTTTATTTTGTGGCGATAATCCTATTAAAGAAAGACGTTTTAATCTTGTTTGGATAGTTCTAATGTCGACAGCAGCGGCTTGTTACTGCTGAGTGTCAGGCGCCTCGTGTCTGCTTGACAGCAGAGGCTCCTGTGCCAGGAGACTCTGGGTCTGTCGGTGTGCAGTCAGCTTTGTTCAACACAGCACTCACAAGCCTTTGCAAGAGCAGGTAATCTGTTATTTACTGTATTGAATGTGTGCAATCCTATGTTTTTTTATGTAGTCCAGAAAATTCTATATAGAGGATCTAGACATACTAATGTCAAATGACATGGTTTTCTTGCTAAACCACTAACACTGATTTTATGTGCATCTTGTAGGACCTCCAGAAATGCTCTGTATTCTTCTGATTTTTTGTTTTTGAATAGATACAGCAGGGTCCCTCTTCTGAATCTGTATGTGCAAATTGACAATTTAAGTCTCACAAAATCTAGACACCCAGTAGACTTTTCTACCTTCTGTTTTTTAAATATAGACGCAAGCTGTCGGCTTTGTACTTTGTTCACAATTCCCTCCTGTTGTTAGAAGTGCGAGTAGCAGCAGGACTAGGTTGGTAGTCCCTGTTGCCCAGAGCTCACTGTGGGTCTTCTCACTGTTCTATTCCAAACTGTCCTTGTTCTCAGTGAAGTGTGGGGAGTGTTTGCCTTCAGATCTTAATCGTGTTCTGATGCGTGGAGAGCGTGTGTGGGGGAGATGGAGGGCCTACAGGAACAGCCAATTATAAATAAAACAAAAAAAAAACATTTCCTGTCAACTTGATTTCTCCACTAACACGGACCCTTGATCATCACAAGGTTTGAAATGGAGTGATGTTTCCTACTTCTGTACGTTTTGTATAGATCGTTAAAATACACGTTTTAAAAAAACCCACAAGCTGCTGTGAAAGTGTTTTTCTCCTGGTCGTGTACGCTGCCCTGTTCTGCCTCTGTGGTACAGCCCTTCCCAGGACTCCCCGTGCACAGGAAGAGCTGCTGACACCACAGGGCGGGACTCTTCCCAGCATGCCCCAGACTCGCAGTGTTCCATGATGATAAAATATGTAACTGGTGTCCCCACATGGCTGGGCAGTGCCCATATTTTCTGTCCTTGGAGACACTGGTGGGGAAGCCGACCTCCACCAGATATCCGCACCGGGCACTGATCCTGCTGGAGGCTGTTGGAGATGTAAATGTGCTGACTGACATCCCCCCCCCACCAGGCCTGGGATACAGCAGCTTTGTCTGACTGCAGGAGCAGGAGGAGGTTACCTGGTAAAACCCAGTGAATAATAATAATTGCTTACACTTATATAGTGCTTTTCTGGACACTCCACTCAAAGCGCTTTAGAGGTAATGGGGATCCCCTCTACCACCACCAATGTGCAGCCCCACCTGGATGATGTGACGGCAGCCATAGTGCGCCAGAACGCTCACCACACATCAGCTATTAGTGGGGAGGAGAGCAGAGTAATGAAGCCAATTCATAGATGGGGATTATTAGGAGGCCATGATTGGTAAGGGCCAATGGGAAATTTGGCCAGGATGCCAGGGTTACACTCCTACTCTTTTTGAGAAACGACCAGGGATTTTTAATGACCACAGAGAGTCAGGACCTCAGTTTTACGTCTCATCCAAAGGATGGCGCCTGTTTACAGTATAGTGTCCTCATCACTATACTTGGGCATTAGGACCCACATGGACCGCAGGGTGAGCGCCCCCTGCTGGCCCCACTAACACCTCTTCCAGCAGCAACCTTAGTTTTTCCCAGGAGGTCTCTCATCCAGGTACTGACCAGGCTCACACCTGCTGAGCTTCAGACAGGGCTGCACAAGCAGGGGCACTGCCAGCCTGGTACAGAGAACAGCAGGATCCAGCTGTCTAGGAATGTAGATACAGTAAAACCAGAGCAACACTTACCCGTCACTTGTGGTTCAAGGAATGTGCTGCCTTTCCATGGTCTGACAATTCTATATGACATTTCACATCAGATCTGTTGCCATCAGGTGTGTGCACAAGGGTATAGTACTGACATGACATCCACAATGTGCACTTTCAAGCACCAGAGCAAAATTCTAGGCATATGTGCAGTGCAGCAATAGTGGCATTAGGGCGCCCTCCTGTGGCAAATCTACACAAAGAGTGGATCACCACAAACAGCAGCGTTCATTGTACCCAGTCCTGTCCAGCTGGAGCAGAATAAACCAACAGTTACTGGAGCAGCTGTCTCACAGTAGAACTACGTTTTGAAGAAATCACCAACATGGAAAAAAATAATGACGGCATGTCGAAGCTATCGTTGTTATTCCTCACACTTACGTTAGGTTTTCTGGACACTCTCGTCAAAGAGCAGTACAGGTTATGGGGATCCCCTCCACCATGCAGCCCCCCCCCACAACTGGATGCTGCTCCAGTCCTCTCCCCACACACCAGCTCTCAGTGAGGAGGAGAGCAGAGCGATGAAGCCCGTTCACAGATGGAGGTTAATTTGAAATCCAGGAGTAATTTTTTGTCTTGATAAACTCATGATGGCTGAAACCTGGCTTCTTCTGTGCTAGACAAGGCTCAGCAAGAACACTTATTGTCTCGGTTAGGAAGAGTTCTGATGCTGAAAAACTCTAACACTGATTTCAGAGTGACAGCGCCAGGCAGCACCACCATGGTTTTAACAGCGGCAGCTCGGATTACTGTTGTACTTCTTAGAAATCATGTTTCTGGCAGTATGAGGAGAAACCACAGTGTGTGTGCCCCGTCTCTCGGAACATCTAGAAAAGATTTCATTCTTTTTTTTAAATGGGGGGAAAACAGAGGCCATGTGAAAGTGTTTTTTGGACCAGGGAGACAGTTGACCAGGACACCAGGGGGGGAGCTGCTCACTACTCAGTTGGTTTTGTTTAATCCACAGGACGGCACCTTTTCACAGTATACTGTCTGAGTTACTATACTGGGGCATTAGGACCCACACAGGATGCAGGGTGAGCACCCCCTACTGGTCCCTCTAAAACCTCTTGTAGCTGCAACCTAAGATTCAAGCAGGCTCACACTGCTGAGCGCAAGGTGTGAGCTGCAGGATGATAAGGCTGCTGGCTTTTTTTGTTGCCTTTATGCCAATTTGGCTCCCTAACAGAAAGTGACTTGTATTCTCCAGCCTGAACTGAGCACAACACCACCGAGTAGCAAAGACAGATCTGTGACTCATCAGGACTGCATTTTTTTCCTCCACTTTTTCGGACGAACTCATGGGGCCCAGTGCTGTTTTTCCACACACAATAACTGGAAAGTCCACGACCACAGCCTCAGTAAAATACATTTATTAACAGTAAAAGGTGCGATACTATGTATCGTCCTAGCGCTTTTTTGCTTTTGTAAAAAATATTAAAATACTTTACAGAAGTTTCTTCTACATCAGCAAATTCCTGTTACATTTTACTTTTAAACAAAGGCTGTCCATCGACAGGCAAGTGTGCCATTTTCAAAAAGAAGTGCTTGAAATATTTATAGTTAAATGTCAACACAAATATTAAACTATGCATAGTCTAGACTCGGTCTACCTAGCAAGAGAATCTGGAGTTCAATAGATTTGTCCTGTGCCACTGGATCTCAGTACCTAGAACCCCGTAATGAAGTCGTTGAACATGAACGATGCTGAAATTTAACAGTCGAGAGAAACAGGACAAGATATATATCATATATATTACCTAAATCACCTCAATTGCAAAACATATACAAAAATGTATATATATAAAATATCAATCAGAATTTTAAGAACATTTTCTTTAAAATGGGCCAAAGTGCCCCAGTGCAACTCAGAAAGTCAAATCCTTCAGTCCTGTTATCTGGAGGTGCTCCAGGCTAGACAGCAGAGCTGGGAAGTATCCAGCACAGGGCCTCTGAGGCAGGTCCTTCTGGTACTCTCCCGACGCTGACCGCCCCTCCAGCTGCCCCGTGCAGGACAGAGCGCTGCTCCCAGGGACCTGCTCCGCCCCGTCCCAGCCCAGCCGCCCGCTACCCAGTGAGGGGTGAACCAACAGCAGGGCCCCGACGGCCTGCGCACAAGGACACAACGCCCCATCCCGAGCCCACTACCCACTGGCCCGGACCCCCGAGCCTCGTCCCAAACCCACTACCCACTGGCCCGGACTCCCAAGCTTACTTCCCCAGTGGGTCCGGACCCCTCAGATCCCACGAGCCCCGTCCCGAGCCCACTGCCCCAGTGGGTCCGGACCCCTCAGATCCCACGAGCCCCGTCCCGAGCCCACTGCCCCAGTGGGTCCGGACCCCTCAGATCCCACGAGCCCCGTCCCGAGCCCACTGCCCCAGCGGGTCTGGACCCCTCAGGTCTCCCGATCCCCGTCCTGAGCCCACTGCCCCAGCCCGGACCCCCCGAGCCCCAAGCCCACTGGCCCAGCCTCCGCCCTGCACACTCGGCGCACGGCCCTCTCTTCCCAGGACAGGCTCAGGGCCGATACTCTGTGACTGTCCCCTTCTTCTGGAGCTGCGGTGGGAGAAGCCCGAGGAGGCGCTCACAGGAGAAACAATCACACGCCCACCTCTCAGAAACCCCCCTTTCTCAAATTCTGTTTATGCTCCACCTGCTGGGAAGACGCAGGGGTGAGAGCAGCCTGTGTGTTTTTGAAACACAGGGACAACAACACGTGAACGACAGTGAAATAACCTCAAACAGATCTGCGCTGTCACAGCTCCTCCTGGAGGTACTGCCAGCTCACAGGCTTACTTTATAGCTACAGCTACCGTTTAAGACCTGCACTACAAGAGTTTATAAGTGCTTTTCATAACAGGACACAAGAATAAAATTGAGCAACAGCTGTCTGCCTGCTAAGAGAGCTGAGTACAGCTGACCAGCTGGTCAGAACCAGCGCTGTTGGCCCAGCGTTAACAGATCTGGGTGACATGTCTGTCAGAGTTAAAGAGTAACAAAACCCATGATCTAAGTTAAGAATGCTAAATGTCATCATTACCTGCCGTCTCACACACTGCAAGGGGCCTGTCTGTGTGAGGAGCCGGCGCTGCAGACTGGACAGACCTGGACCCCAGGGGAGAGGCTGGCACTGCCAGGCTGCTCCAGCTACGCTCTGCACAGCCCTGTGCCAGCAGCACGGGCAGGACTGGCTCCTCTCTGCCAGGGGGGGTCTCTCCCCAGCCGAGCTCTGCATTGAAAGCTGCTTCTGCTCCATTCTCCTTCTTCTTTCTGCATGAGTCCGGCGGGATGCAGCCTCAGTGGTGTCCAACTGGCACTGACAATGTCCCGGAAGAAGGAAAGGTCATGGATCCTTTTATGGAAAAACATTCATTTTGAAGGCTGACAGGCAAGCAAACAGCAAGCCACCTTCGCAAAGGAGGTGATGGCCGGATACGTGGTGTTTGTGCAGCAGAGAGGTGCTGTCTCACAGGAGGGCCTCTCAAAGCCCCGCCCCCTCCACTCACAGCCTGGACTCCTTATTGGACGCCTCCCAGACGACAGCCTCAGGAGCAGTGGGTGGGTCAGCTCTTGTCTCCGCCCTTCTCCCCTCCTCTCTGGACACGGACACAGAGGGACAGAGGGGTCACTCCCCAGCTGGAGCACAGAACAGGCACATCCGGACACTCCAGCTGCCCCAAACTCTCACACACACAGAACTGAACCAAATTAACGCTGTGACCTTTAATACTTTATGACTATATCTATTATACTGATAAAGTCTTTCATACATTTATCTCTCTATTGTATATTCACTCATAAACTGGTAGAGGCAATACTGACTAGCTGTACAGCAAAATATATTTTTATACAGCATGCAAAACACTGAAATCGTATCAGCTTAGGAAAGATCTCCTTATCAAAATATGTTAAGAGTGAATTTATCATTAATATATATCAGTTCCCTACACTTCTGGTCCTCAAAATTAACAGACTCTACAAGCTTGTAAAAAGTGGTAATTCAGACTTGTTAACTCACTAATTAATTCAATTAAGTCATTAAGGTAAGCACAAAGGCTCAGGTAAAGTGAAGATCTTCTCATTGCTACTGTTCTTTGGGTGTTGGATGATCTTCCTCACCCCTGACTTCTGCAGACTGTCCTGCTGCAGGCTGAAGAAGGGGTTTCCCTGGCCACTCTGCAGGGGCGAGGCCGTTGCTGGGGTCAGCAAGTTGTTGCCGGGGGCGTTGAGAGGTGGGGCTATGCCTGACGGCATCAGGTTGTTCCCAGGAATGAGGGTAGGCGATGAGGTCATCATACCGCTGCCTAGGGGGGAGCTGCCTGCCAGGAGAGGCGGCGCAGCAGATGATGTCATCAGGGTAGGGCCAGGCTGCAAGGTGTTGGCCAGGGTGAGGCGCTGTAGCTCCCTCTGTCGCTGCTGCTGCAACATCTGGTATACAACTACCTGCTGCTCCTTGAGAGTGAGAGACACGAGAGTAAGAAAAACAGGGAAAGCTAAGAGAGCAGGGAGAGAGGAGTGTAGCAGGGAGTGACGCGGAGACAGATGTGGGGAGAGACAGGGTGCAGGGAGAGCCCCAAAAACTCTCTAGGCAACAGCAGTGTTGTGGACTACGCTATCTGGGCAGCAGTGTAGTGGACTACGCTATCACTGACCTGAACCCCTCCTGTATCAGTGCCTTCACTGTCAGGCCACAAACTCCCCTCTCTGCATCAGTCAGATCTCACTCTACATCAAGAGAGCACACCAGCACAGAGACACGCTGACACAGCCCAGCCAGCTGTATGACCTGATCTAGCCGGGACAAATACCAAAGAGTGCTAAACAACCAGGAAATTCAGACATTATTAACGACGTTTCAAAACACTCTGTATCAAATCAAAAACTCAGGCATAAATGCGACTCTAAAATACTTAAATTTCATATTTTGAGAAACTGAACTTAAAATCAAAATTAAAAGAATACAAGAAACAAAAGAAGAATGGTTTGATACAGAGTGCAGAAAGACCATAAAAGCACTATGAGAACTATCAAACCAAAAACACAGACAACCACACAACGCAGATCTGCGCCTTAGATACCACGAGATGGTAAAACACTACAAACACACCCTAAAGAAGAAAAGCACACACACAAACAGAGAACTCTCCGAAATCAAGCAGTCAATAAATCACAACTGTTTCTGGGAAAAATGATTTTGTTCCCTGAGGAGTAAGGACCAGGGAGAAATTTGGCCAGGACACTCGTGTAACACCCCTACTCTTCTAGAGAAACGCCCTAGGATTTTTAATGACCACAGAGAGTCAGGACCTCGGTTTTTGTCTCATCCGAAGGACGGCGCCTTTTTACAGTATAGTGTCCTCGTCACTATACTGGGGCATTAATAATAATAATTGCTTACACTTATATAGCGCTTTTCTGGACACTCCACTCAAAGCGCTTTAGAGGTAATGGGGATCCCCTCCACCACCACCAGTGTGCAGCCCCACCTGGATGATGTGACGGCAGCCATAGTGCGCCAGAACGCTCACCACACATCAGTGGGGAGGAGAGCAGAGTGATGAAGCCAGTTCAGAGATGGGGATTATTAGGAGGCCATGATTAGTAAGGGCCAATGGGAAATTTGGCCAGGAAGCCGGGGTTACACCCCTACTCTTTTCGAGAAACGCCCTGGGATTTTTAATGACCACAGAGAGTCAGGACCTTGGTTTTACGTCTCATCCGAAGGACGGCGCCCGTTTACAGTATAGTGTCCCCGTCACTATACTGGGGCATTAGGACCCACACAGACCACAGGGTGAGCGCCCCCTACTGGTCCCACTAACACCTCTTCCAGCAGCAACCTTAGTTTTTCCCAGGAGGTCTCCCATTAGGACCCACATGGACCGCAGGGTGAGCGCTTCGTACTCGTGTGGGCTGTGGGGTCCACAAACAGGAGTATAGAAGGGAGACGGGGAGTGGGGAGTGACACTGGGGGACAGCCTGGGCGCAGGCGAGCAGAGAAGGGGCTTGATTACCGGAGTGAAGTTCTGGGAGGTCAGGAACTGCTGGAGCTGCTGCTGCTGCTGCTGGAGGAGAAGGTGCTTCTGCTGCTCAGAGAGGAGGGAGGCACTGGGCAGCCTGAGAACACAGCAGAGCAACAGAACACAGTCAGCAAACAACAGCACAACACTCACAAAACAGCAAACCACGTGCCAAATAACACATCATTCTCACCAAATGATGTCACACTTTCATCAAACAATGCAACACAGTCACTAAACATCACAGTACTGTAACAATGCCATTAATAAATATGTCCTTATTTGGGCCCACCAGAGCACCACCTCTGAGCACACTAGTCACACATCACCTTTATCTGCTGACCAACACCTGACCCCAGCAAAAGTGGCAGAGGGAGACTCACGTGCTCAGACTGTTGGATAGCTGCACATTCTGGGGCAGGGCCTGGGGGGCCAGGTTGGGGGCCTGGGGTGGTAGAGTTGGGGGCTGAGGGACCGTGGCGGGCGTCTGGATCACCCCGTTCAGATTTCCCATCATGCCATTCATTGAGAGCTGGGGACTTCCTGTCAAGCTGCCCATCAGCCCTCCCACCATAGGGATGGTGGGATTTGTTGCCGGAGCTCCACCTCCCAACATGCCACTCAACCCTCTGCCCAGGCCATTGACCAATGGTTGCGTCAGGGAGGCGGGGCTCTGCTGTGGGGGCGGGGTGTCCTGGAAGGACAGGGAGGAGCTACTGCGACTCTGACAGCCTGAATGAAGCTCCTGAGAAAAAGGAGGAAAACGTACAGAGGAGAGTGAGGCCGACTAAACAGTGTGACACTAAATCTCCAGCAGCTGCTTGAGCACAGGTATGGGGTGGGGGGGGGGGCTCACCTCAGATGAGGTTGTCAGCGAGTTGTCATTGATGAAGCTGGACTTGGAGGGGGGGCTCTTGCTGGTGTTGAGGGGGTCAGTGTTGCAGACTGGAACAACCAAAAAAAGAAAAACACAAACACACAAAAAACAAATCTTTCAGGACGCATCAGCGAGGGGCGGGAGAGAGTGGAGCCGGTCATTCGGAGAGCCCGGCTGACCCGCGGGGCTCCGGGGGCCGGATGAGCGAAGGCGTCAGCAGGCGGAGACAGAAGTAAAGAAGGAGGAAGCGAAGGAATAAACCAAATCAAGAAGGAAACAGGGGCGGGGGGCATGCGGGTGCTCAGGGCTGGGGCTGGGGCTGACCGTTGGGTGTGGAGAGGAGGCTGAAGTGCCCCGAGGAGGGGGGGGCGGCGGCGGGGGGGGGCAGTGGGGGGAAGGGCACGGCCAGCTCCACGTTGAGCAGCTGCAGGCGCTCCTTCTTGGCCGTCAGGGTGACGATCTGGTCCTGCAGCCTCTGGTTCTCCTGCTGCAGGGAGTGCAGCGACTTCAGCATCTCCACAACTGGCACAGACAGAGAGGGGGGTTACAGCACATTAGCAGAGGGACCCAAACCTTCTACTGTT